TCAATCCACGTTGGTGGCAACGCCGTGCGATACGAGTGGCACGGCAACCAGAGGACTCGAGAACAACTGCGCAGCAACCAGGCTGTGCAGGACCTCGCCAAGAAGATTGCTGATATGCTGTCCTGGGCTGGTCAGAGCGTGAAGGGCTCAAACGGGCAGAACGGCGGTGCCAAACGGCACCGAAACACAGCACGTGAACGCAATTTCACCCATAGCTTCAACCAGAGCGTTTGCAGTTGTCCATACTACAAGCTCCAGCGTTGGTGCCAAATGTACACCATGCACAGCATTGTCGTATGAAGCAGAACGTTTACGAGGCGGCGGGCTCGCCGTTTCTGGCGACGAATTCAAAGTTTGGTGGAAGGGCCAGCAGAGACAAAAAACCGTATAACTCCATCGGCAAATGGAACAGGAAGACGCCGGCACGAAACGCACGATGAGAAATCCGATCAAGGGGGTACAGGCATGTACACAGGAGGAACTCAACCCCCCAGAAACCTTCCACGAGAAACCCATTCCTGAGACCCCGGGAAGTCCATTGAGATTTGCTGTGGGAACGTCACGCTTCCCAAAGTAAAACCATTGCAACCCAAGAAACCCAGGGCACCCTGGAGGCAAGCAGGGTGTTTCTTACCATGCGTTTCCACTGTAAGCCCAGGCCGATGCAATGGCGGTGCACATCGGCGAGGAAGACGACGACAAGCGAGGCCAGCCGAGGCATTCTTAGAGGACGGAGAAACGACATGAATATAAACTTTCGGAGCTCCGCGCGCATGCCTGGAGATGCGCTGGGCCCCCCTTTTGGCGCGCGGCGCCGATCCACGAAGTCCGCGCGGAGCTACGAAAGTTTATGTTACCTCGAACTCCTCATTCCCCGTATTGATTATTCTTATTGGTCACGCCAAGCAAGCCGCTTTATGCTTTGCTTTGAATGTGTTTTGTTATCCGATGTTTGATCCGATTCTGCTCCGCCGCCAAGAGTCTCGCAGGCCGTTTTATGTTCAGATGCGCGGTAGATTTGTTATCCGATTTCTGCTTAGCAGCCTGGAATCGGCGATGCATCGCCGATTGATCGTCGGTAGGCCCCTGCTAGCAACTCCGCACGCTGTTGGGCGAAGGGGCGATTGGGGGTCGATGCGCTCCCTCCTAAGCCCCCCCCCTAAACACTCCCCCTGACGGAGGAGGACGACGGCAAGCAAGGACTATCGAGGCTGTCAAGGAGCCTAATTCTATACACCGACGCCTCCCGGCCCCACACTGGTGTATAAGGGATCCTGGGGTTTACATTTTTCGTTGCCTCCCCTGGAAAACGGGGAACAAACATACACACCACATCACCCCGACGTCGTCCCCGACCCTCCCAACCAGCCCGCCACTGGCACTGTGTACGCGTGTGCGCCAGATTCCGAAGCGTTTTGCTCCGCCGCGAGCCCCGCCAGCAGCCTGTACACCCAGTGCAGCGCGTGCTCGAACCGCAGCGCCCGCAGCGCCAGCGCCCGCGAGGCGCGCGCGATCCGCCGCGCCTCCGCGTCGTGGCCGCGCAGCCAGGCGAGCCGCTCCGCGAGGTCCGAGGCGTCCCCGCGCACCGGCACGACGCTCGGAGGAGAGCCGGGCCGAGGCAGAGCGGCTCGAGCGGGAGCTCGACTGCAGAATTGATCTGCCCCAGAACTGTGTCTTCCCATCGAGTCTAGGACCACTGCGCAGAAGTGTCGCCGAGCACTCGTACAGCCGCCCGGATTGGTAGGTCGGCCCTGCCAACTCAGGGGTATCTTTGTGTCCTGTGTCTCGAACCCCGTGCCTCAGGCATTCCTATGGCAATGTGCCCCCCGGCAGGGTCTTGTGTCCTCTCGCGTGTCCTGTCCAATCAAGGCCGAGTGCAGACCTCGACGAGAGATGCCATTTCGGGGGAGCTCTCCCGGGGGCAGCTCCCGCCCTTTGCGGGCCCCCTCTCCTGGAGGATTCTCGATGCCACGGCCGGCTCCGCCTCGAGAACCGCGGGCGCGGCCAGAAGCGGCGGGGAGCGGCTCCGGGCAGGGCGGGAGGCTCGGGTGCTGCTGGGAGGGCCCCCCGGCCCGAGGTGCCCCCAGGAGGACCCCGCGGCCTCCCTGAGCACCCCTCACGAGGCGACCCGAGGAGGAGGAGGAGGAGGAGGAGGAGGAGGAGGAGGAGGAGGAGGAGGAGGAGGAGGAGGAGGAGGAGGAGGAGGAGGAGGAGGAGGAGGAGGAGGAGGAGGAGAGGAGGAGGAGGAGGAGGAGGAGGAGGAGGAGGAGGAGGAGAGGAGGAGATTGAGGAGGGAGGGGGAGGAGAAGGAGGAGGAGGAGGAAGAGGAGGAGGAGGAGGAGGAGGACGACGAGGAGGAGAGCGAGGAGGAGGAGGAGGAGGAGGAGGAGGCTCCCAAATGGAACGAGAAGCTGGGGGCACCTTGGGCCAGGGGCACCTTCGGCGACACCCGAGAGGGGCGGGGCGCCGCGGTCTGTCTCCGCAGGCCCTCCTCCGAAGAAGTGCTCGAAGGGCCTCGCCAGCGCGCCCATCCACGACTCCGACTCGCTCGGGACGACCACCTGCGGGCAGTGTCCATATCCACATACGCACCCTGAGATTCTTCAGCTCAGCGGCCTGGCCCCGGAGCGTATCCATGGCGACTCGGGAGGCGAGGATGACTGAACTGATGGATTTCGGCATGCCAGGCATACCGAAATCCATCAGTTCAGCAATCCTCGCCTCCCCAGTCGCCATCGAGACGCTCAGGGGCCAGATCGCTGAGCTGAAAGATCTCAGTGGGCGTAATAGCCAGTGCGTCTTGGACTTTCCTGGAAGGGGCACCGCAAGGGCGAGGCGCACTGGATATGCACAAACATCGAGCCCCTATAGGGGGCCAGATTCTTATCCACATCTCGGGCCAGGCGAAAGGAGGGAGATAGCAAAGAGGGGGGTGAGAGTCAGCTCACGTAGCTGATTTTCCCGGCGCCTCCCGGCGCCGGAGGCGACTATGTATCGATGAATGGGCCCCTCGGTGGGGCCGAAACCAGCTGCATGCAGCAAATTTCGTACCCCCCCTTTCCCAATCCCTCGCTTTCGTCCGACCCGAACATCCAGTACGCCTCGGGGTTCTGGGGAAGGGAGCCCGAAACTCAAAGCTGCAGTGGATATGGACACAAATCTTGCCCGCACTACCGGCACGCTCCCGGAGAGGCTCACCCACAGCAAGCGGTCCGAGGGGCCACCGCCGCCGTCCATGTCCAGCACGTACCTGAACTCGGCGGTGTGCACGCGAGGGGGCAGGGCGAAGACCGGAATCGAGGGCCGACGATCGAGGGCAGGTGTGGGATGCCTTTGCTGGCGCTTTTCGGGCCTCCTCCGGCTTCCTCGTGGCCACAACCTGGACGCGGTTCGGGAAACTGGCCAGGACGCACCCCGCGAGAGGTCGGGGGAGTCGTTGCGGGGAAGGGTCGCAACCTCCCGGGCTCCCAAGACGCCCGCACACCACCAACATCGCCGAGGTGGGGACCACCTTCCCTCGGTGGCGGCGAGCGCCGACACCGGCCAAAGTGCTGGTGTGAACCTCCAGGCCTCCGACGCTCGCCCCCGCCCCCTCTCGGAGCGCCCCGCCGGCCTGCTCTGCAGCTGCTCCGCCACTGTCAGGCTCCCGCCCCACAGCGAGTCGTTCCCCAAGGCAGGCACCTCCCGCGCGATGCGCTCGCGCCTGCCGCCCCAGTCGTAGGCCCGCAGGTCCACTGCCACGGAGCGGCGCGGGGCGCCGCGGAGCGCCTGGTCCATGAAGGCCAGCCGGGAGCCCCCCGGGGAGCCGCGGAACACCAAGCGCGGCACCTTCTGGTCCCAGGGCGAATCCACGGAGGGCACCTCTGGGAAAACCAACAGAGATATCGATACCGCTACTCGGGAGAGGTGCGTTCCGACTAGAATTTCGAGGCGACCGTGGCGACGAGGAAGTCCCAGCAGGCCCAGAATGTAGATGCAGAAACGAGGGAAGGGTAGCCGCCAGCGGCATCGGTGCCGTTGGCCCCCCTCTGCACCTCGAACTCCATCCGGCGTGCCCAGATGCTCAGCACGTGGCTGTGCGGGACCCGCAGCGCCCCGGGCGCAGACGGCAGCCGCACCTGCGTGAGCAGCGGCGCGCGCGGGTCGCCGCCGCAGCCCCAGGGGCTGTCCGCGCAGCAGAGGAAGAAGTCGACGTCCGGCAGCACCGCCAGGCGGCCCAGCACGTGCAGCGCGGTGATGAAGGTCGACAGGATGTCGGCGGCGGCGTCCCCCAGGGGGAGAGTCAGAGGGGGCAGGCCTTCTCAGAGGGCTCGGAAGGCGCCTGGCCTTCGAAGAAGGTCTCCGGGCCTTCTTCGAAGACGCACACGCACGCGGCTTCTCGGAAGGCGCGGGGGCTTCTGCGGGGTGCCCCGCCTTCTGAGGAGGCCCTCAACCTCTCGCTTCCTCCGGGGTCCGCCGCCGATGTCAGAGGAGGGAGAAGCTGCATATACATCAACTTTCGGAGCTGCGCGCGGATCTCTTGGATCGGCGCTGGAGCCCCCTTCCCTGGCGCGCGGAGCGCGCCAGGGGCAGCGCAGGCAGGCGCCGCCAGGGGGCCCAGCGCCGATCCAAGGAACCCGCGCGGAGCTCCGAAAGACCGTGCCGCTTCGGCTCCTTCCTCGCCTGTGCGACTCCCGGTCGCACCAGAGGTCCTTCCTTCGGTGGTTGCTAAAGGTGCCCCTGGCCCAAGGTGCCCCCAGCTTATCGCTCAATTTTGGAGCCCCCGCGGCCCTTGTCCTGGGGGCACCTTGGGCCAGGGGCACTTAAAGCAACACCCGGATCCTGAACTTCGGCCCGTCGGCGGCGCGGCAGTGGTGCACGCGCCCGCCGCGGACGCGGAAGCGGCACGCAGAGGCGTTCTGCTCGACCTTGATGGGCCCATCTTCCACCACCACCACTACCGTATAGGTAGGAGAGGGAAGAGGAGGAGGAGGAGGAGGAGGAGGAGGAGGAGGAGGAGGAGGAGGAGGAGGAGGACCTCCTCATCCTCCCTTATCCCCCGTCCTACGTATGGTAGTGGTGGAGGTGGAGGTGGAGGTGGAGGTGGAGGTGGTGGTGGTGGTGGTGGTGGTGGTGGTGGTGGTGGTGGTGGTGGTGGTGGTGGTGGTGGTGGTGGTGGTGGTGGTGGTGGTGGTGGTGGTGGTGGAAAAGTTGCCCATCGGACCTCGAACGAGGCCCGCTGCTCCTCCGTCACGAGGCGCGCCCGCCCGCGCCAGGGCGCGAGCTCTGCGGCCAGGAGCGCCTCGGCCTCCGCCGGGGCGCGGGGCTGCCGCAGCAGCCAGCGGAGCGTCGGCAGGCAGCAGAGGGCGAAGAGCTCGTCCACGCCCTCGTAGTTCGGCTGCGGGGGGTCGTACAGGAGCCTCGCGCCACAGTCGAAACAAGGTCACAAGAACGTGGGCCAAGAGCATGGGCCTCTTCGCCGAGAGCCCAAGGCCCATGGAGACTGCCCAAACGAAGAGCACTTTATGATGGAGAGCCCAGTGGCGAAGAACATCGGGGCACCCCATCCAAAGCTGTGAGTGCTCGTAACCCTCGTCGCAGCTGTATGTTGCTCCCATCGTGCTTGGGGGCCACATTCCAGGACTCCTCCGAGCACCCAGAGAAATGTGTCGAAACAGTGTCTGCCCGACATGCTGGCGAAGTGTCGAACGAAAATTGCCTCCCGGGGCCCGACACGTGACAACCCTCCAGTTTCGATACTTTGCTGGTGCTCGAACATCTTTCTGGAGATCTAGGCTGAAGTAGATTGGAACATCTTAAGCCTCGCGTGGTCGCCCCAGCAGAGCTGGCTTCTGCCGTGGTAGCAGCAGTACGCGGACAGGTACATCTCGTCAGACATCAGGTACGGGGGGGCCGGAGGCCCAGAGAGGTGACGAGGGGCGCGCGGGCGCGGGGGGGCGGGCAGGAGGAGGCATTCTATGGAACTCCTCCTCCTCCTTCTCCTCATCCTCCTCCTGCACCTCCTCCTCCTCCTCCTTATCCTCCTCCTCCTCCTGCTCCTCCTCCTCCTCCTCCTCCCTCCTCCTCCTCCTCCTCCTCCTCCTCCTCCTCCTGCTCCTCCTCCTCCTCCTCCTCCTCCTCCTCCCTCCTCCCTCCTCCTCCTCCCCCGTCTGCTCCTCCTGCTCCTCCTGCTCCTCCTCCTCCTCCTCCTCCTCCTCGCCCTCCCCCTGGCCTCCTGCCCCTCCCCGAGGCCCTCCCCCTCCCGGCGCCGCCCCCGGCCTCCTGCGCTCCAGAGAATGCCTGTTTGTGCGCGTCGAATCCACGTCGGATTCACGTAAGGCTCACGTCGGATTGCATCGGAGGTACGTCGGATTTGCGCCAGAACATCGCCGCGCGAACGTCGTCCCACGTCTGTCTTGGCGGAGGTGCGGACTAGGTAGTACAACAATTGCGCGCCGCACGAGGCCTCCAGGATGTTCCTCATAAGAGGCGGGCTCAACGGTCGGGGGGGGAGGGGGGAGCAGGAGTTAGCGGACGAACAACTTTCTAAAAAATACACTTTTCCGCCGCAGGGGACGCCTGCCCCCCATGCGGCTGGAAAATGTATACCCCTACGTGGCACCGTAGGGGTATAAACTCTGCAGCTGCCCGGGGGACAGGCGTCCCCGACGGCGGGACAGTCAATTCTAAACCGTGCCTCGCCCGCCCTATGAGGGGGGGGGGGGGGGGGGACGACGGGCAGCGAAGCGAAGCGAAGCGGGGGGGGGGGGCGGGGGGGGCGGACGACCGAGCCAAGGCTTCCGGGCCGAGCTGATGCGGGCAGCGATGGCCAAGGCAGCACGAGGACGAGGGAGGAGAGAGAGCACACAGGACCCTGACGCCCGCCGACGGGCTGCTGCGGGTCGCGGCCCCAGACCCCCCGGCATCCTCGTCGATCCTCGACCCTCGATCCTCCTCGATCCTCCTCCTCCTCGATCCTGCTCCTCGATCCTCGATCCTCCTCCTCGATCCTCGATCCTCCTCAATCCTCCTCCTCGATCCTCCTCCTCAATCCTTCTCCTCGATTCTCCATCCTCCTCGATCCTGGCACCTCTGCCCCAGAAGAGTGGCCGCGGCATCCGCCCGCGCGCGCTTCCCAAGGGCCAGTTTGTCGTCCGGATCATTTTAAAGGAGCCATGGGACACGCAAATAAGTAGACACAACTCCCTGGTTATCTTCGTCTATTTCCTGGGTTGCCGTCCTCCCCCCCCCCCCCACTTCCCGTATTTTCCAACTTCCAGGGGGGTCGACGAGGAAAAGTGTCTGTGTTTTTTTCACCCTGACCTTTTTTGGGGACGGGGCCAGGTCCGTGGCAAGAAGCTGCACGTCCATGGGTGGGAATGCGAGAAGATTTCCTGTACTTCTGCACGTCGACGTGAGCAGGCGCGATGCTTCCTTTGCGCACCAGGCCTGAATAGTGGCTGGCATTTGATTTTTTCCCTCGCGCCCTACATGGGCCCGCCCTCGTGCGAGCGGGGTGACTTGACTTGACTCCTGACCTTTTTGGGGACGGGCCCGGGTCCCGAGCGTGGACGGGCCCCAGAGGCCGAAGCCGAGGAAGAACGCCCAGATTGCAAAGCTCACGTCGTCGGGGGCCTGGGCTGGCTTGGCGGCGAGCGAGGTGGGGAAGCGAGAAGGAGAAGGCCTTCCCCGAAGGAGAAGGTGAGGCGAGTGAGGTGGGAAGTGAGAAGGAGAAGGAGAAGGAGAAGGAGAAGGAGAAGTGGGAAGTGAGAAGGAGAAGGCCTTCTCAGAAGGCTCGGAAGTCCCCTGGCCTTCTGAGAAGTGTTCCGGGCCTTCCCCGCAGACGCAGAGAAAACTTCTCAGAAGGCCATCTCCTCCTCGTCTCCCCCCCCCTCTCGGGCCGGGCGAGAGGGGGGGATAGCAAAGGGGGGGGTGAGAATCAGCTCAGCTGATTTTCCCAGCGCCTCTCGGCGCCGGAGGCGGCTATGTATCGAGGAATGGGCCCCTCGGTGGGGCCGAAACCAGCTGCACGCAGCAGATTTCGTAACCCCCCCTTTCCCAATCCCCCCCTTTCGTCCGGCCCGACCCTCCCTCGCCGCCGACCGGAGGCGGGCCGAGATCGGGCACGGGCACGGGGACGACGAGGCGCCGCCTCCCCGACCGCCTCGGGACCTCCGGGCCTTCGAAGACCGCCGCGGGCAGGGCGGGCCGCGCCAGGCTCACGTTCGACCGCGCCGCGTCCCAGCAGGCCGGCTCGTGCACCCCCGGCCGGCAGCACCTCGGGGGCACGCCAGAGTCGGGGGCGCGCAAACATGGAGCAATGCGGGATGGCGATTAATCACAAAATGGGAGAGAACGATCTAAAACATAGTTTTCTGCTATTTCTGCACAACTCTCTGACTGGAGGAGAACGATTAATTTATAAGAAAAAAAGTTTTCCAGCCCGCGGCCGGTTTTTTCTAATCGTTATCCCGGGCGCCGCCGCGTGACTACGACCCCTGGTCATTTATTAATCGTCATCCTCCATTAACGATCCATGGATGTGGCGCGCGGTCGCCAAATCCACGGACCGGGGGAGGTGCCCTCCCCAAAGTGCGGCCGGTGCCGGCTCGGTCGGCGGCGGACATTCGCGACTGCCCATGAACAAGGGGCCCGGTCGCTAGTCCATGCCCCCCTTGATCCATGTTTGCGCTCGCCTGAAACTCACGACACGAACGTGAACATCCGGAGGTCCGTGCGGATTTCAGGGGTGGACAGACCCCCCTTTCGTAAAACGTGGTTTAGTGAAAACGACCTGAGGCCCAAACCTGGCGATCGCCCGAAAGAGCGACCCTGGGCAAGGGTGACCTTTCGGGCGCGGCTCCAGGGGGCCCTGGGGGAGTCCGGCTCCGAGCGCGCAGGCCGTTGCTGGAAGGAGGACCCCTGGGAGCCCTCACTCCGGCGAGGGGTCACGTCACGTGCCTTACGCGCAGCCGAGCACCGCTCGAAGGAGCTCACTCTGGCGAGGGGTCACGTGCGTTACGCGCAGCCGAGCACCGCTCGAAGGAGCGCAGCCGGTCCCAGCACG